GTGTGTGTAGGCGGGGAGGGCAGAGGACAGCCGGGAACCAGGAGCCTGCTGGAATGCCTGCTGTAGTTCCATTAATCAGCATGTGTCACTGTGCTGGGCACTGAGGCTGAAGAAGGCATTGCTTTTGTCTTAAGGACCCCCCAGCCTAGGAGAGGAGACAGATGTGTTTATAGTTAGCTACAATATAAAGCCTTAATTTCCCCATTTGTAAGATGGGCATTGTTGTTAGGTGCCGTCGAGTAGCTTCTGACTCATAGCGACCCTAAGTACAGCAGAACGAAATACTGCCGGGTCCTGTGCCATCCTCACAATTGTTGTTATGTTTGAGCCCATTGCTGCAGCCACTATGCCAGTCCACCTCATCTTTTTTGCTGACCCTCTAATTAATCAAACATGATGTCTTTCTCCACGGACTCGTCCTTCCTGATAACATGTTCAAAGTATGTAAGACGAAGTCCGCCGTCTTTGCTTCTAAGGAGCATTCTGGCTGTACTTCTTCCAAGACAGATTTGTTCGTTCTTCTGGCAGTCCATGGTATATTCAGTATTCTTTGTCAACACCATGATTCAAAGGTATCAATTCTTCGGTCTTCCTTATTCATTCTTCAGCTTTCGCATGCACATGAAGTGATTGAAAATACTATGGCTTGGGTCAGGCAAACCTTAGTCCTCAAAGCGACATCTTTGCTTTTTAATACTTTAAAGAGGTCTTTTGCAGCAGATGTGCCCAGTGCAATACATCACTTGATTTCCTGACTGCTGCTTCCATAGGTGTTGATTATGAATCCAAGTAAAATGAAATACTTGACAACTTCAATCTTTTCTCCGATTATCATGATGTTGCTTATTGGTCCAGTTGTGAGGATTTCTGTTTTCTTTATGTTGAGGTGTAATCCATACTGAAGGCTATGGTCTTTGATCTTCATCAGTAAGTGCTTCAAGTTCTCTTCTCTTTCAGCAAGCAAGGATGTGTCATCTGCCTATCACAGGTTATTAAGGAGCCTTCCTCCAACCCTGATGCCACATTTTTCTTCATATACAGACAGTCCCTGGATTACGAACGAGTTCTGTTCTTAAGTCTGTCTTTAAGTCGAATTTGTACGTAAATAGGAACAATTAGGTATGGTTCGTATCTAACATCAGTTAGTGAAATGTATCTTGGTGTATAGTATTCTTCTCTATGCATAAAAAATATTAAAGAAACACTTCCAGATACACTAAAACATCTTTAACATAATAGTACAGTAATAATAGTTATGTTTTTGTTGAAAAGTAGCTCCCATTTGTTATTACGAACCATTGTATGTACCTTGAATTTTTAATATAAGAGGCTTTCCAGGGGGTTGGTTAGTGCGGTGTGATGAATCTTTTTTTTTTTTTTTAAACTTTAAAAAATTTCTGAGTAGCTTTATTGGTCTTTTATTGTTATAAAATCAAACATAAGTATTATAAAACATAAAAGCATAAATCATTATTATAAAAACATATCATAAAAACATATGCAAACTATAATACTGAAACAATACAGAAGTGTATAAATGGAAAATAACAGTCTTTGAGCAATCCTAATTTCACTCTGTAGAGGTACCTTATGTATATATGTGTATAAAGTGACATGTATTTTAAAATAAAAGCTGCATCATACATCCACTTGTACAACTTTGTTCAATTAATAATTTATCATTAACTTTTTACATGAAAAATACCTACAGATCATCCTTAAGGCTGCATATAATTAGACTGTAAAGATGTAATGTACTTTGCTGAGCACCTGTTAATGAATATTTAGGTTTTTCCCTATTGTAGTACTCATCTTTGTACGAATATTTGATTTGCTTATGTGGCTGTTTATTTGGATGCATTACTAGAAGTGTTTTTTTTTTTTTTGCTTTTGATTGATGTAATTAAATGAAGTTTACATTTCAAGTTAGTCTCCCATACAGAATTTTTTTTTTAACATACATTGTTATGAGACCCCAACTGCTCACCCCATTCTCCAACAGCACACTCCTCCCCTTCGCCCCTGTTTCCCCATGAACATTCAACCAGCTCCGAACTCTCTCTGCCTTCCCCTCTAACCTCTGGACAGAAGCTGCCGCTTTAGTCTCTTATATCTACTTGTGATGAATCATTTTTGTGTGGTCTTTGTAGCCATGGTCTTGTAGCTCCCACCCAAGTGACTGGGTGGGTCTGTGCAGATAGGGTAATTGTAGCCCACCAAGGGGGCTACACCAGAGGTGGGAAAGAGAGGATCCCACCTCCACCAAGGAAGAACGGCCAGGAGCCGGCACGTCCTTTGGACCTGGGATCCCTGTGCTGAGAAGCTCCTGGAAGCAGGAAACCGAGAGAGAGAGATGTATCCTTGAAGATGTTGAGAAGTGGTGGCAGGAGAGACCCAGCAGCATGACCCGGCAGCAGGGGAGGGCGTAGTGGGCTTTCTGGCCCGCAGAGAGAAAGCTGAGTGCCTTTGAGCAGAGACTGAAGGCCAGGGAGAGGCGTGCCTGCGAGCATGGCTGGGAAGAGTCTGTCCTGATGGAAGAACTGTATTCTTAAGTGTTCCTGAGCCTGAATTGTTACCTGCTACTTCCTTAACAAATGCCATAATCGAGAGTATGGTCTGTGAGTTCTGTGTGGCCATTGCAATGAATTACTGAGCCCAGCAGAGAAGTAGAGTGCTGTGGAAGCGACAATTGGTGTCAGAGTTGGTAAAGAGGGTGGACAGAGGGGGAATGTTTGACCTCTGCCTCACAGGAATCAGCCTTGGGCCGTTGATCTTGATTCTCCTTCCCCCTTGTGACATTAGAGGGGGTCAGACACTGCCCCCACGCTGTTTTTACAGTTAGTGACTACTGGTTGTACATCAATTGGACGTTAGTAATCTGGGGACTACCTGTAGCCCAGCTTCTCGGATTATTTGCTCAGCATACAGAGTGAATAAATATGGTGAAAGGACACAACGCTGATGCATACCTTGCCTGATTTTAAACCATGCAGTATCTCCTTGTTCTGTTCAAACAACTGCCTCTTGGTCTATGTACAGGTTCCCACGTGCTTAGGGCTCACAGACAGCTTCAACCCAAATCACAGCACCCTTGATGATTCTCCCTCAGGAAGCTTAAGGACGGGATGTCTGGGCCAGAACTGGACACACAGCAACCCCGGGGTGCCAGGAGCTGTGGTGGACAATGCTGGAACACAGGGACATATCAGAGCCCTGGCCCCTGAGGTGTTTCCCCAGCATAGTGGGGAAGAGACACAAAAATGACCCCATAGCGGTGGGGGACCCCTTGATCTGACTGTGATGAGCCCAGTCACTCTCAGCCTCACAAGGACCCTCAGCCCCCTACCCTGGACCAGGCCCTTCCTGATCCTGGACCCCTGCCCTGTCTTTCACTTCTATCCTGTTTCCAGAGACACCGCCCTGAAAGGTGTGTGGACACCTCTCAGCCTGGACCCAAGGCCCTTGCTCATCTGGGTGCCTGGGGCATAGCCCGGGCAGGGCCAGGCGCAGTTGGCAAGGTGATGTTGGGGCCTGAGTGACTCTTGGAGCAGAGGTTTCTGACATTTCCCCCCGCCTCTAGCCCACATGCACCAGTCTCTGGTCAGGCTGGATTCTTCACTGTTCCCAGCACTGCCTGCAGTTCCCCACCATGCTCTCCCCTCTCTCTGAATGCCTTCCCTCACCCATTCTTGCACAACTTCGGGGGCTCCATTCACGGTGACTTCTATCTTATTCGCTGCCCTCTGCAACCTGGCCCAAGAATACAAGGCGGTCAGCACCCCCAGGAGTTGCGCCACACAGGACCCCTCTGCTGGCAAGCCTCCCTACTCCCGCCCCCATCTGAGTCCTCAAGTCTCGGGGGACTTTGTACCCATCCCGGCTTTATCAGATGGCTCTGTGTGTTGTTACAGAGTAAATATCTGTTTGCTGGGCTGATGTCCGCAGGTCTGGCCCCTGGTGTGCTCTCTGTGGCATCCCCCACATGGTTCTGCCCAAGCCAGCCCGGCCCAGGCAGGAGCAGAGCCCACTGGCCTAAACTTCTGTGGAGGGGGCAGGCTTCCTCCTCTTTGCCCTAAAGTGGGTCACCTCCAGGTCTCTCCTCTGCAGAGCAGGTGGTGAGAGATGAGGGAGAGCAGGAGGTGGATGCAGGAGTCCTGGCCCCCAGCACCTCATTCCCCAGAACTAGACCTCACCTGGCCAATGCCAAGAAGATTGCTGGTGAAGCCAAATGCACGGACAATAATCACCATCATCATAATCATAGTACTGATTATAACAGGAGAGACACCACCAGTGGTGGAGATGATAAGGGTAGGACAGCCGTAATCAAGGCTGGCCTGTCTGACATTCCCAGGGCTCCATCCTCAGCCCCTCTCCCTGAGGGGCTCCACCCCGGTCCGCCTGCCCAAGCCTGGAATGAGGGCAGAGTGGATGGCGGATCCTGGTCTTCAGGCCTTTAACCTAGCTTGGCTCTGCTGCCGCCCTGCCCTGCCCCGTGCAGGTCCTGGTGCCCGTAGGCTGTGATTCAGTGTCTGTCTCCCAGCTGACCTCAGCATGGGCCCGGGGATAAGGGAGAGGGCAGTCTTCTCTGAGACTAGCTCCCCAGGACGGTGACTCAGGGGCCCAGCCTTGAGGCCTTAAAGTGCCTTTGTTGGCTTCGGTTCAGGAATCTGGGGAAACTGGTCATGGGGAGGCCCCAGTGACCGAAACCCCTCCCTCTGCCCCTGCCTGCTCTGCCAGAGCCATATAACTACTCCAACCTGCAGCCTGAGAGTCAGAGCGAGATAGCAGCGGTCGGCGGGAAGGAACTGGTCTGGTCACCCTCTGGCTGGCTTGTGCACCCGACTCGGGAGAGATCCTCGGCGACTGCTCTGACTGGCTTTGTCTCTGGACTCCCAGTGAGAGGCTGTCCCTTCAAACACTGAGTGGCCTTCCTCAGTACTCTAATCCTACGGCTGCCCAGAGCTTTCTTGGTCCCAGACCCCAGCAGATGCTGAGCCATGGCTTCCATGGGGCTGCAGGTTACGGGCATTGCGCTGGCCGTGCTAGGCTGTCTGGCCGCCATCGTGTGCTGCGCGCTGCCCATGTGGCGCGTGTCGGCCTTCATCGGCAGCAATATCCTCACGGCGCAGACCATCTGGGAGGGCCTGTGGATGAACTGCGTGGTGCAGAGCACCGGCCAGCTGCAGTGCAAGGTGTACGACTCGCTGCTGGCGCTGCCGCAGGACCTGCAGGCGGCCCGTGCGCTCGTCGTCATCTGCATCATCGTGGCTGTGCTGGGCATGCTGCTGTCGGTGGTGGGCGGCAAGTGTACCAACTGCGTGGAGGACGAGAGTGCCAAGGCCAAGACCATGATTGTGGCGGGCGTGGTGTTCCTGCTGGCAGGACTGCTGGTGATGGTGCCTGTGTCCTGGACGGCCAATAGTGTCATCCGCGACTTCTACAACCCGCTGGTGGTCTCCTCACAGAAGCGGGAAATGGGCGCTGCGCTCTACATTGGCTGGGCCGCCTCAGGCCTGCTGCTGCTCGGTGGTGCCCTGCTCTGCTTCAGCTGCCCGCCTCGCACTGACAAGCCCTACTCGGCCAAGTACTCCGCCGCCCGCTCCGTGCCGAGCAGCAACTACGTGTAAGCTGCCACTGCTCAGATCTGTCCTATCCAGCTTTGTTTTCCCCTGGACTGAGCCTGTGACCTCAGGATGGCCCTGCCATGGGCCACTGACTTCTGGGGGCCGGGCACACTGGGACCGAGTGAGGCCACAGGTCAGCAGCCCTCAGACCTCTAACCCTTTCGGACACCCTCCTGAGGTTTTCTCTCTATTAGTGAGGATGGAAGGAAAGACCCCTGTGCCACCCTCTGACTGGCCTTTGGATCTAGGGGAGGGGGGCAGAAGCAACAGGGTGTGGAGGGGGTGGGGGATGAGCTAGCTCCTGCTGGCCGGGACAGCTTAGCCTTGACCCTGGGCCCTGGTTCTGAACACACATGCAGTGCCGTGTCCATGCCTGTGTTGGGCACCGTGCCCTGCTTTGATCATCTCCGCGCCCTCTGCTCACGTCGTCTGTGACGCCCTCCTCCTGCTGTCATCCCCTGGTCCAGCAGTCCTCCTGGCCTTGCTCCGGCTTTGGTGCACTGGCGGGCAGGCGGCTGAGTGGGTCGGCAAGTGCTTGGGCTGTGTCTGGCCATCGAAACCCAAGGACTCACCCACCCACCTGCCAGGAGCACGAGTGGACAGACGGGTTTGGGAGAGGAGGGGTAAAGGTGCTACAACTGGTTTGGGCGGTGGCGGGGGGGCGGCCATGGGAGCAGCTGTGGGCCCAGGCTGCTCCCACTCTTCCACCTCAGGACTCTCTCTGCCTCTCTGGACCCCTCGAACCTGGCCGCCTCCGAATCCTCTGCCCCTACCAAGGACACCGGCCAGCTGGGGAGGGCCCAGGAGCAGCCTTTCTCTGGCTACACCCCAGGAAGCCCTAGGGCTCCCTGCCTCCTATGTAGTTTATGTTTGTTTTTTAGTAATTTAAGGAAATCAATTCATCACTGTAATTATTATTATTTTCTACAATAAATGGGACCTGTGCACAGGAGGACTGAAGTATTTATTGTCTCTGATTTCAGCGGTGGAGGTGCGCAGGAGCAGGGCTAAAGCCTAGTGAGGGGCAGGGGTCAGTGAGTGGCACGACCATTGTCTTGTGGCCATGACTTGAGTGCTTAAAAAACTGGTTTCAGGGAATTATGAAAAATCAGAACTGGTCCCGACCTCTGGAGCCACCTTGTTCAAGTGCTTTAGTATTTGGACGGTAAACTCCATGTGCAGGAAACCCAAGTCTATGCCCAGGACTTGCTGAGGTGCCAGGGAACCCCACGGGAACACCCACTCGGTGGCCCTCTCTCCCTCCTCGTCCAGCTTTGTCCCAGCACCCAGGCTGGTCTGCTCTCCCTCTCTGGGTCACCCTACAGGTCCCGCCCAGGCTGTCCCTGCCTGGAATGTCTTTTTCCTTTCTCTACTCGTCTGAATCCTGCTTGTCCCGAAGGACCAGCTTCACGCCTCCTCCCCATGACACCGTCCCATGGCCCCAGATGCAGAACTCATCAGTCCTGTCCCATCTACTCCACCGATGGTCACCAAGCCCTTTCACCTCCCAAGCTCGCATTCCAACTTCACTTTCCAGGCAAAGAAGCCGAGTCCAGGACATGTGCAAATGCCTGGCTAAGGCCTGACCTACAGCTAGGCCCTGTGGCCTGAATCTGGGGTTGTCTGGGACAGGGCCCAGGTCTCAGCAGTCACCTGGTTCTGGACTTGCCCCCTCTCTGCCCGTGTCACAGTGTGTGCATGTTCCCATGCTGCCCAGCCTCAGTTTTGTCATCTATGAGTTAGAAGTGGGTGTGCCCACCACCCCAGCAGGAATTATAAAGTCACATTTGTGAGTGTGCCTGGCTTGGGGGTGGGCGGGTCATGAAAGAAACAGAGTCACGAGTCTCGCCCTCTCTTCTGGGGCTCATTTAATAGGCAGAGCATTCTTGAGGGGCAGGGCTGGCACCATTTTACAGATGAAGCAGGGGAGGCCCTGCCGACTGGCCTGACACAGAGGGTCAGAGGCCCAGCAGGGGCTGAGGGCTGGGCCTCGCCCCCTTGGCCTGGGCCACCTCCTGCTTTCGGTACAGGTAGATGATACCCGAGATGAAGCCGTCATTGGCAGAGGTGCCAGGCACCACCTCAACCTCAGAGGTGGCCAGCTCCCACCGGTCCACAGGCCAGGCCATCAGGCGTTCCCATGCCCCAGCCTGCTCCAGCTGGTCCAGGGTGGCCTCTAGTGCCTCCTTAAATCGAAGGTTGGACGGGTTGGTCCTGGTGGTCAGACACACCAGCCCACCTGGGGAGAGGGAGAGTGGGTGAGCTGGCTGAGGGGCAGGAGCCATAGCCATAGGCCTGTTCCTGCCTGGGAAGCTTGTCCCGTTCCTGCTCATGTCTTCAAGGCCATAAGTTCTTCCAGCTCCGTCCCCAGGCCAGCCTTTTCCCTCCTCCATGCGTGTGGTGCTCACTGTTCCCTTCCCCAGAAGTGCAGCCTCCTGTGCTCCCCACAACCCCAGCCCAACTGTCCTTTCCAAGGAGGCTCCCTCCTCCCTGATACCCCAGCCTCTTGGCTCCAGCATGTCTGGGTGCATGGGACGGGGCAGGAAGCACTTGAGCTTTGACCTTGGGCAGTCCCTTCACTGCTCTGAGCCTGTTGCCCAGTTTGCAGAGTGAATGACTGTCCTGTCTCACAGGAAGTCCGGTGTGTATGGAATGCCTGGCACATTCCGAAAGTGCTGGCTGAATGAGTGAACGATCTCAGCCCTCAGGTCTTATCCAGGCACCACCGTGTACCCAGTGAGGTCTCAGATATACTCTGAAGGAGGGCAGGGGAAGACAAGTGACTGGTGTCTGGGAAGGTCTCCTGGAAGAAGGGGCGAGAAAAAGCAGGGCACTCCTGGCGGAGGAGACACAGTGAGAGGACAGGCTCCCTAGCAAAGGGTCAGCAGGGTGGATGGGGCAGACAGGGCTCTGGCTGTGTGTGTGTGTGTATATGTATGTGTGTATGGGCAGGGGGTGGGGGTGGCAAGCGTGGCTGGACAGAGGAGGCCAAGATGTTGCTGGTTCAGGTTTTTGGGCCCAACCTCTAACCCTCGTGCTGACCCCACCAATGTCCTTTGCTGCACCGCAAGCCTGCCCAGACCTGCTCAGGCTTAGCCATAATCCCTGCTGGGCTAGGGGCTGGAGGGGTTGGGGAGGACACAATCTCACCACAATTAAGGATACCCCGCTGACTTCCTGTTTGCTGGTCAGCCAGTGACTCGTGGACCTTATGCCCTGCCATTCTCCTTTCTGCCTGTGACTTCACTTAAGCTGGATGGACTGACCTTGCTCCTCACCTCAGCCTCTAGAAGGCCACTCCCCTCCAAATTCTCAGAGCGATGAGCACTCACAGCCCTCGTGGCCCTGGGCCCTCTAGCTCCTTCCTGGGCCCCAGTGGGCTGGTAAGTGAGCCCCAGAGAGCCGAGTCTGTATCTTCTCCCCAGATCACAGGGCAAGGCACACAGCAGGAGCACAGTAAACACAGTCTGCGCCTACACATCAGCCCAACTGTAGTTTACAAAACATGTTCATCTGAGCAGCCCCACTTCACAGATGAGGAAACTGAGGCCGTAAAGAGAAAGAGACCTGCCTAAGGGCAGCCCAGAGTTAGTGAGGAAGCTGGAAGGTGAGGGAACTGAGCTGAGTGCCTGCTCTGTACCAGGATTGAAGCAAAGGCCTTAGAGACATCATTCTGCCCAGTTCTCACCAACGCCCTATGGGGAGGGTTAGGGCCGCCCTGTTTATAGCGAGGCAACAGGCTGGTGAGCAGAGTGGAGTTGCTCCTGGATGCCCAAAGGGTAAGAGGTGACCTAGCTGCCTGACTGCTTGGCTCTGCCATTGGTGGCTGCTGAGCCAAGCCCTGGGCTGGCAGCTGATGGCTGGGATGCCAGGCTCTGCTGTGTGACTCTGGGCAGAGCCTTGGCTCTTGCTTGGCCTGAGGGGTTCTGAGGCCTGTGTGGAGGGGGAAGGTATGTGTGTGGGTATCATGGATTGAATTGTGTCCCCTAAAAATATCTGTCAACTTGGCTGGGTCATGATTCCCTGTATTGTATGATTGTCTACCATTTTATCATCTGATGTGATTTCCCTGTGTGTTGTAAATGTTATCACTATGATGTAATAAGATGGATTAGCAGCAGTTATACTGATGAGGTCTACAAGATTAGATAGTGTCTTAAGCCAATCTCTTTTGAGATATAAAAGAGAGAAGTGAGCAGAGAGACATGGGGACCTCACACCACCAAGAAAGCAGTGCTGGGAGCAGAGTGCATCCCTTAGACCTGAGGTTCCTGCACGGAGATGCTCCCAGATCTAGGGAAGACTGATGTATCATAAGGACCTTCCTCCAGAGCCGACAGAGTGAGAGAGCCTTCCCCTGGAGCTGATGCCCTGAATTCGGACTTCTAGCCTACTGGACTGTGAGAGAATAAACTTCTCTTTGTTAAAGCCATCGACTTGTGGTATTTCTGTTATAGCAGCACCAGATGACTAAGACAGTGGGGGACTGCTCCTCACCTGGCTTAGTGACGCGCAGGAGCTCAGGTACTGCACTACAGGGCACCTGGCCGTCACTGAGGGCACCCACCATCAGCACTGCATCGAAGGTCCCTGAGGTGGGCGTGTGGATGTGGTAGGGTAGTTAGTCTGTAGGGTGGCCTTAGGTTCCCCTGGAAGAGAGTGTCCCGTGGTGGGGGCCTGGGGAGGGACAAGGCCTGCCACCAGTGTCTGCAGGACCCAGATCCTGTGGGGGATATGGCAGCTGTGGGCCAGGCCTGGGCTGAGGTCAGATCAGGAGGTGGAGGGCTCACTGGGGGCTCCTAGGGGCTCCGAGAGGCTCTCAATGAGTGGGTGGGAAGTGCAACAAGGTGAATGGGGACTCAGTGTGGGGAGGGGGCTCATGGAGGATCAGCAAGGGAGATGGGACTTAGAGAGGTGAAGGGGGGCTTGGTGAGGGCAAGTGGCACGAGAAGGGGCTTGGTGCAGGTGGGCCTTGGGATGTCAGGTGGGGAAGTACCTTCAGGGCTGGGCAGAGCCTCTGGCCCAGTATGCAGAGGCTGAGGCACTGGTAGAAGCCGTGAGCCCGAGACTGTTCCAGCATCCCTGGGCTCCCATCCACCCCGTGCAGCTGGAGGAAGCCCCGAGCCTGCGGCTGGGTGGGGGTAGGGGAGTATGTTCCAGTTACCGTTCACACCCTGCCACCTCCAAGCTGGGTCCCCATACCTGGGGAGGGCAAGGGGCCCCGCGGTGGATGTGGCTCATGTGTCTGGGACCAGTGAACTGAGCAAGGAGGCAGTGTGCTGGGGCCGGGGTGGTAGGACCTTTGAGAAGTGGGGGCCTAGCAGGGGGCAGGGGGTCTGGGGAGGTCTCACCTCAGCAGCCACTAGGCCAGTGCCACAAGCCACACCCAGAATCAGGGTGGTGTGGGGCGGGCCTGCAAGGGCTTGGGTGAGGCAGTCCACTGCGAGGCGAGGGGCGCGGTACTGTAGGGCGGCCACGTCCTGGGGATAGAGTGCAGGGCCTGGTGGACTTCCTGTGTGAGTGGTCTGGGAGTCAGCCAGGCCAAGGTGTGTGTGCATGTGTTGGAGGCCCAGGCCCTGCTGGGGCTACAGTGGGGGGAGACCTGGCAGGATCGGTAAGCCCCCACCCCTCTGCTCTTGGGGACCTTCTCTGCTGTTAGTAACTCTGCTTAGTCCAGAGTGACCATCAATGGCACCTCCTCCAAGGTGCTTTCTGGCTGGTCTGCAGCCCCAGGGTGGGGAGGTCTTGATCCTTGATCTCTGGGGGGGTGAGGCTGCTCAGAAGGCAGGGCTGTTGTGGGTGAACGAGGAGGGGCCAGTCTCTAAGGGAGCAGTACTGCAGGGTCCTCACCCAGGTCTCCCTTCGTTCTCATAGCTGTCCTGAGACCCAAGGCTAACGAATTATTTCCACTTTACAGACAGGAAAACTGAGGTTGGGTGAGGGAGGGAGGTGAGGCCCCTGGTGGCTCACCTGATCGTAGCCTGGGGCCCAGCCGTCATAGAAGTGGAGTTTGAGGGCCAGGTCGGTGACGCGGTGCGAGGCCCCGACCCGCGCCGGCACCTCGGGCAGGCTCCCGCCCTCCTCCTGCGCCATCCTGTGGGAACACGGCCTCCCTTTTCCCCGCCCCCAGGCCCAGCAGATGAGGCTGTCAGGACCTCCTCCCCAGGCTACTAGCGCCAGCCCCCCATTTCACAGGCGGGTGCACTGAGCACAAAGAGGGCGGGACATCGACACCCAGGATGCGGTGCTTGGGAGAAGGGTGCTCCCTGCGGCGGGAGGGTCTCTAACAGGGTCTGGATCGGGACTCACCGCCTATCTGGTCAGCCAGAGGCCGCTGGAACTTGGGCGGGGTCTGCACGACGAACCTGGCCCCACCCCTCCACCGCCCTCGGTGATTGGCTTTCCACTAAGAGAAAATACCCAATCAAAGGAAAGCACTGGCAGCCCGCGCGCCACGCCCCCAGCAAGTGAGCTCCCGGTAGTCCGCCTGCCTGCAGCGTGGGAAGATTCAAGACCTCACCCTACCGCCTTAATTTATGGGTATCTGCCTTCCATGCTCCGAACATTTTAATTTTTTTAATTATATTTATACTTTTTTAAAAACATTGTACTTTAGGTGAAGGTTTACAGAACAAATATTTTCTCATTAAACAGTCAGTACACATATTGTTTTATGACATTGGTTGACAACCCCACCACATGTCAACACGCTCTCTTCTCGGCCTTGGAGGACCCTTTTTTTTTGGTGAAAATATACATAGCCAAAAATACACCATTTCAAAAATTTCTACATGTACAATTCAGTTACATCAACTATGTTCTTCCAGTTGTGCTGCTATTCTCACTTTAGATGAAGGTTTACAGAACAAAATAGTTTCTCATTAAACAGTTAGTACACATATTGCCCTATAACAACGGTCAACAACCCCACTACATGTCAACACTGTCCC